ACGCGAATGCTGGCTGGGGAATTCTGGGAGTTGAAGTCCGGACATCTTCAAGTTGCCAACATTGAGAAACACTGTTCTAGGCTTTCAATATCTTTGTTAGACTGTGGTGACCAAACTGGACATCGTACATCCTCCTGAGTCTTGTGAGGGCATAAGAAATGGAATTATAGGAAATAATGCCCATTAAAGTTTGATTTTTCTCCAGCCCTGCTTTCCCTTCTTAGGTCAAGCTCAACTTACCATTGGGAAGGTGGAAATTGTTCTAGGAGTTGGCACCGCCTGCTCGGTGTGCGTTTTCCTTTGCAAGCACGTAGGATGAGATGCCTGTTCTGTCTTCAGCAGGAAGCCGAGGGGTTCTGATGGAGGAGTAAACTTAGAGTAAGGGACTTGCCGATCCCTCCAAGCCAGTTCTGACCTGAATAGGCACCCAGGATCTGGAGGGCACTGGAAGAGAGAGACACAGCCAAGCTTTCTGGGCAACAGAAAACCACTCCTTGTGTGTGTAGTGTCAACAACCTGGCCTCCTATGACACACTTCTTCCCCACAGCAGAAACCCTGACCTTCAAATCTTCCCCATTAAGGGAGCCTTTTGTGAAAGAGAAATAATATTTCTGCATGCAGGTCTTTCAAACAAAGGAGAGGATTCGTTCTGCAGAATGACAGCGTTAAAAGGGACCTTGGAGGTCTTCTAGTCCAACCCCCATGTAGAGCAGGAGAATTCGAGATCCTTCTGGGGAAAAAATGGCGGTTGAATTCTCTTCCACCCAGCTTGCTGAACCCAGTTTAAAATATTAATTTATTTTGGGGCTCGCACAAGATCCTGAGCTGTAATCAAATAAGCAACTGGATTGTCATGACATGATGAAAGTGTACATATGAGAGCCATTAAATCAAGGTTAATCCTTCTAATCTTCAAAGGCTAAGATGAAAGTTTCATCTATATTTTTCAGTGTCGAGGAAAAAATCCAAGTGCAAACCAAACTGTTAAAAAGTTCATCTCTTTAAAGTCAGAATGATTCTTTTATCATAGACGTCACTGAAGGGTTTCAAAAACAGACTGGACCACCATTTGACTAGGCTTGTATGAATCTTGGGGAGGGGTTGGACTAGATGACCTCCAAGGTGCCTTCCACCTTTGGGATTCAGTGATTCTAAATGGCTTGAAATGTTTACAAATGTAGAGCAAAAGTTTAGGCTGCCATTCTTTTTTTATTCTACTGCATTGAAAAAAGTCAGAAGCCAGAATATTTTTTTCATTCTTTTTATCTCTCTTTGCACCCTTTCTTTCTTTCTTTCTCTTNAGGGAGACAAGTATGAAAACACATGAAAACAATGGCACAAATCAATGGATGTAAATGAGCAAAACATAGCCATAAACACATAAAAAGAGCACGTATAAATGGGAGAGTAGGACAGGGACAGTAGGCACACTGGTGCGCTTATGCTCGCCCCCTTTTCGGACCTCTTAAGAAACGCGTAAGGTCAACGGTAGACAGCTTAAGGCAAAAGGTGTGGGGGTGAGAGGAACTAACAAGGGGATCAGGTTCGACTCTGTTGCTGAAATCGCCTTTCCTGCAATCCAGATGAGAAGGGATTACGTGGAGTCTGTATCTCTTGATAGCCCTTGTGCTATTGCAGTTGAAGTAAAAATTAACAGGTAGGACGTTGTGGTGGATCATCTTGTGCACTGAGCTCAGGTTGCCCTAGTTCAAGGTTATCCAGGCCTAAAATGCCAAGCCTGGCGGTACAAAGGATTTTATGGCGAGCAGAGGAGTTGAGGACTTTCCTTGTGAAATATCTCTGGGCCACTTTCTGTTTTAATGTCCGAAATGCAGTGTGGATTCCAGGCAGGCGAGCAGATACGTCTGGCAAAGGTTTCGTATGCCCTAGTTAGCTGCATAAGGTTGACAACTCTGAATGCCTTTTTGGCAATGTTGTTAGAGTGAACTCTGGGACTTAGGTCAAAACTAGCTCAAAAGATTTCTAATCCCTGCAGGGAGGGGGCAAAAATTAACATCCCTGTCCTGGTTTAGGAAAACCTTTGAGAAAATTCCAGCTGATAGGATGTTGTAAGTCATGCCAGAGATTGGATGAAATAGCCTCATTGCAATTTTTATGAGAAGTTAATGTAAGGTCGGTTTAACTCTACCGCAGCATTGAAGGACAGGATGAGAAATGCAGACGAAATAAACAAGTAATAAAAAAATGAGAACGTCAAACATAGATTCCTAGGGTTGGAAGGGACCTCAGAGGTCTTCTAGTCCTACCCGCTGCTCAAGCAGGAGACCTCATTGCACCCAGGACAAACGGATATCCAACTTCTTAAAAACTTCCAGTGATGGAGCCCCCACAGCTTCTGGAAGGAAGCTGTTCCACTGGTTAATTCTCCTCACTGTCAGGAAATTTCTCCTTCATTCCAAGTTGGAGCTCTCCTTGATAACGTTCCTTCCAACAACAGAGAATATTTGCAGCTCAGGGTTGAAAGGAGGAGTCATTGGTGTTCTCTGCACTTGGTTTTCTTGCAGATGTTTCATTACCCAAACTAGGTAACGTAATTGACTAGCACTGACGATGTTCCCTAGTTGGGTCGTGAAAGGTCTGAAAGAAAACCACCGAGCTCGAGAACCCCACAGTCCTCCACCTCCTCCTCAAACCACACTCCCTTCTAGCACTGATGACGTTACCTAGTTGGGTCATGAAACATCTGCAAGAAAATAGCCAAGCTCGGAGAGCACCAAGGACCCCTCAAGGGTCCTTCCACTGTTTTTGGTCCTGCCCTCAGGTGCTTTTCAGAATAGGTCAACCCTGTTCTCTGCGACATCCCTGAAAAACAGCTTTCATGTCACCCCTAGTCCTACTCATTCCCCATTTTTCCTCTGCAGATAGATAAAAGGGGTACTTTAGCTTCTTCGCTTCTCAACCAACCTACCAGGCCCCGAGACCCCATGGACAAACCCCAATTCGCTCTCTTTTTCCGCATCCCCGATCTTGGGCAGCTCAGAGAAATCCATCGCTCCCGTTGGTCAGTTAAGGCAGCCGGATCCCAGTTCTACGACGACCTCAAGCTCTGTATCAAAGAGGGAGAAGAACCAGCAGACATAAAATAAAACAATGAAAACATGTCTTTCTTTAAAAAGAAAAAAAAAACTTTCTCACTCTTCTTTCAATGAAGGGGCCAGCACCCCCCCCCCCACCGAAGGACTCCTAGTTTGTGACTTGGGTGGCCAAATCTTGGAGCTTCTGAGCCTCAAAAGGTCAGCAACATCAGAGGTCTCCTAGTCCAATTCTTTGCCCATGGCAGGAGAAGTTATACCATCCCAGTCAAATGGTTGTCCAGGAAAAATCTGAAAACTTCCAGCCATGGAGCGCTCACAACTTCTTCGTTGATTAATTGTTCTGTCAAGAAATTTCTCCTAGGTTCTAAGTTGCTTCTCTCCTTGATTAGTTTCCACCCATTGCTTCTTGTTCTGCCCTCAGGTGCCTTGGAGAATAGCTTGACTCCCTCTTCTTTGGGGCAACCCCTGAGAGATTGGAAGACTCCCATCATGTCTCCCCTGGTCCTTCTTTTCATTCAACTAGACATTCTCTCAATTCCTGCAACCGTTCCTCATATGTTTTATCCCCCAGTCCCCTCATCCTCTTTCTTGCTCTTCTCTGTCTTTCTTTCTTTCTTTCTTTCTTTCTCTCTC